CTTCTGCATCATATATATGCCATTATTTGCAAAGTTAGCATTTTTGAACCACAAGATGTCATACAAAATAAAAAGATGAAATAAACACAATGAAAGAGGTGTTTTAACTGGGTTAAATACATTTAATATTTTTGAAGTAAAATATATCCTCTTTAGATAAAGAGGTTGTAGAAATAAAACTTAGTTAGCAGTAAAACATACTCAAAGAATAATTTGGATTTCGTTGTAACCACGTCAAACCATGAAGACTTCATAAGAAAGACAAAAACTCAACACCATGAACAGTGACAAGCCCTGTAATTAAGTATCAAAATGCACTGCCCAGTTACCACATTTCCAAATCCTGTCTTCCCTAGGAACACAGCTAGGAAGCAGCTTCTGTTATAAAATCAACACAGAAAGTCAAAGTACCTTTTACATGTTTAAGTTATAATGATATTTCAGTGTAAAACTTTTTAACCATTCAAAGCAGTGATATTTTACTTAAACATCTTCCTTCCAAGCTAGAATTTCTAATAATGTTCCAGCATCTTTCAAGAAATGAGTTTATAATAGTACTGAGGTGCATCAGGCTTCTTTGCATAATCTGTACATTTGCATCCCAATATTCAGTAGCTCCCTACTATACTACTGATTAGGAAAGCTCTATTAAATAGCAAATTTATGTCAGTTCTATCCAGGGATTAAATTACTAAATTAGTTCTAAATGTGACACAGGACTAGGAGTTAAGCATGGAGATCTTGATTGGCTTCCTGTCTGTATCAAATAACTACAATAATTCAGAGAGCAGACTTCACTATTCTGTAATTCTCTTTTCCCAGAGATGATAACTGAGTGTAGAGAATGAGGGAAGGTGTGTTTGTTGCACTGGCACCTTAAGCTACAAATTTTCACTTCCTGAGAACAACTTCCCAATTACAAAGACAATTAATAAATATGACACCCCTTCATCTAAACAAGTATTTTTTCCTAGCCAGCAGCTGCATCAGCTCTTACTGAGAGTCATTTCAATATTAAATGAGAAACTTTTCTCTGAAGTGACCAGCTTAGAACATCACAGGAAAAAAATTGCAGCTGAAGCAGCTTCAACCCCAGAGACTCAAATTTCACCAGTGTTAGGTGTGCAGGGTTTCAAAGCCTCGCTTTGAAAACCTGCTCTAGGAAAAGTTGCACTGTTCACTACCGTGTTCCAAGTAAGAGATTTTTCTGTGATGACATTATTTCAGCAACAGAAAATGAGAGAGCAGATGATGTGTTGCTGTCATGCTAAAGGCTGTAACTGAACAACAGTGTTCTTATCCAAATGCAGAGAGTTTTCATTTATGCAGACAAGGTGAAAACGGTATGTCAGAAACCCAGAAAGAAATGAACACTCAGTGAACATTTACTTGTGTCTGTGCAAGAGTACTATTGCTGCAGCACTGCAAGAGACAATTTGATTTTTAAAGGACTTCAATGGGAAATTTGCCTAATGTAGTCTATCAGTGAATATTTCTGAGCAGAACAAGACTGTGCAGGTGCAGAACTGCTATTCTACTTTCCACAGAACTGACAGTTTTTCTAAGTAACACTTTACCTGCTCTCCAGCCTTTGAATCAACAGTTTCTTCCAGACTGGTAGCTAGTGCTTTTTCATGATTTAAAGTGACAGCAGTTGAATCCAAATGTGCTGGGCTCATAATTTCCTCTTCCACAAAGATACTTCCATTAGGCTTATTTAGAGGCATTTTCTGAGGTGAAGACTCCAGCTGTCCATGGCCTGGGTTAAGTTTATAGTGTCTTGCTAATCCTCCTTTTCCTATATAAGATTTTTCACAAGTCTGACATTTAAATGTTTTGGGTTTCAGATTATAATTTGAAGAACTGAATAATGCATCCTTTCCCTTCACCTTTCCTTCTTCATCATCTTCTATACTCAGCTCAGAGTAGTCATCAGAATCAGATTGATGACCATCAGCCAAATCCTCCATTTTAATGAATTTATAATCTTTAGCTTTGTATTTAGGGGGGCGTGAAATCCGTCCAGAACGAGTTTTCACCTTCAAGGATTTCTTTAACTTGTCATCCTTTTGCTTTTTTTCAAGGCATGGTGTACTTGCTGAACTGGCTGAAGCCACGGTAGGATTTGGAGACCTTGAAGCCGATGCTGTAGCACAAGTAGCCCTCTGTCCATTCACCATCTTAGATGGGGGAATCTTGTCCACAGACACTGATCCATGAGATGGTAAAGGCCTCTGCATAAGCAACTGAACCGGAGACTCAGAAGAACTATGCAGGAATAGCTGCTGCTGCTCAGCTCCTGAAACAGGCTGTATCCTAATTATCTGGGGATTAATAATGCCAAGTCCTGGTATGCTAGAATTCCTACCAACTGGCTGACTCAGCGTTATAGTTTTGGACTGGATTGGTGCCAATGATGTCATTGGCCCTTCAGTTTCCTTCATCTGTCCTGGCTGAACTTGGACACAAATGGCTTCCAGCTGCTTTTGTGGAAAAAAGGAAGAGTTGCAATTACACAAATACGGTATTAATAAATAAATCCAATACTTATCAAAGTAATATATTAATAAATAAATGCAATACTTATCAAAGTAATACACAGGTGCCCTTAAAACAAAGCATGCAGAAACCACTGCACATCATTAGCTTTCAATTTTAACGCATCAAAGCACAGATTCCCTTCCTTCAAGCTACAAGTTTTCCCGCACATTATTTTCTGCTGTGACTGCTCTTGAACTAAGCATGTAAAGTTTGCTCTGAGGCCATGTCACAGCTTTGTTTCCTGATAGCAGACCTGTCTGGAATAGCAGAGTCAATGCCATCACCAAGGCACATTCGTAACCTTCACACACGGGAAAACTACAGTCTGCTACATGACACAGGCCAAATACCCAGTCCAGGACATGCTATAATGTGTGTTCAGTTCACAAAAACTTTGTGGTGATGATTCACAGAATCAGATGTTACTGTTCATCCCCCTCACATTTTCTCTGCTTCAGTTCAAATCAATCACTTCATAACCTGCACCCAAACGTGGGTTGAAAACCCAGGCACTGTTATCTGCAAGAGGCATGCACTAACACCACTTAACGGAACAGCTCTTCTAAGCTGCTCTTGGCTGCACGTGTTGTCAGACCGAAATAGTGACCGCAGCAGCTATTAGCTACATTCAAACACGGATTTTCCTAAACCACGTTGAAAGCTGTGCCTTAGAGCTACGGGACAGGAGTCTACACCCGAGGGCAGGTGTGACTGAGGAGAACAGCAAAAAACCACTAATTATTAAAAAGGATTAAACCCGCCGGAGCCGTGACTTTCATCCCCAGGGGGGCACCGCAACCTCCCTCCCCCAGCCCCCGGGGTTACCTTCTGCGGGAGCAGGCGGGTGGCCGCCGCGGCCCTGCCCTGCTGCAGGGCGACCTGCTGGGCCACGCTCTGCAACTGCCGGGCGGCGTTCTGCATGATGCCGCCCGCGGGGCAGGGCTGCGGCGGGGGCGCGGCGGTGCCCGCCGGCTTCGGCTGCTCCTGGGCCTTGCTCACTTGCTCGATGACCTGCCGGAGCTCCGCGGGGGCCAGCGGTGCGGCGGCGGGACGGGGCGAGGGGGACGGCCCCGGGCCCTCCAGCAGCCTCTCCAGCAGCCGCCGCTGCTCGCCGGCGCTCTGCCCCGCGCCCTCTGCCGCGCTCCCGTCCGCCCGCAGGTACAGCACGGTGCCGCTCGCCGCCCCCGCGCCGGCTTCCAGGGCGGCCAAGCTCTGCACCAGCTCCTCCGTCACCGCCAGCAGCTCCGCGCCGCTGCCACCGCCCCCGCCCTCCTCTCGCCCCGCCGCCGCGCCGGGGGGAGCCCCGCGGGTCCCGGGGGGCTCGTCCTCAGCGGGCGGAGGGGGCGGCAGCGCCCCGGCGCCCCCTGCCCCGGGAGCCGCCATCTTGGCAGGCGCGGGCGGGCGGGCGCCGCATCGGCGGCTGCCCCCGGCGGTGTCGGCGGCGCGGGCAATGCGCGGGGCACGGGCAGCGCCCGCCGCGCCCCCCGGGGCGGGGCCGCCCAGCGCCGACGGCGGCTCGCGCGGGCACAAACCGGCGGAGGTGTGTCCGGAGCGCCTGGCCCCGGGTGCGGATGGAGGTGGTACCCGCAGGCGGGGTTACCGTCAGTTGGGTTTCCTCGCTGAGTCAGTAACGGGTCAGTACGAGCGGGACATGGAGCTCCTAGAGCGGGTACAGTGGAGGGATAGTTGCGGGACTGGAGCGTCTGTCTTATGAGGAAAGGATGAGGGGAGTTGCGCCTTTCCAGCCTCCAGGCAACTTAGAGGGAACCTCATGTCTGTGTATGAACATCTAAAGGAGCTTGTGCCAAGAGAACAGATCCACGCTCTTCTCGGAGGTGCCAGCCTCTTGGAAACAAGACAGCTGGCAGAAACTGATGCACAGAAAATTGCACCTGAATAGGCGGCAGAACTTCACTGTGCGGGTTACCGAGCACTGGAACAGGTTGCTCAGAGAGACTGTAGAGTCTCCCTCAAATGGCGATATCGCAGAACACTCTGGACGCAGTCCTGGGCTGTGTGCTCTAGGACAGGTCCGCTTTAGCAGGGAGGCTGGATGAGCTGCGGTCTCCTCCAACGTGACCCATCCTGTGAATGTGCGCTCCGGTCTCTCCGGGCGGGGTTTTGGGCGCGTGTCGAGTGGGAAGGGCAAACCCCCAGGGCAAAAAAGAGCCCGGAGGGATCAGCCGAGCGTGCTGCAGCCGCCCGCGCAGAAACACAAATCCGCGCTCTGCCAGGCTCCATCAGCCGCAGGAGCGCCATCAAGCTCGGTCCGTACTGCAGCTGCCCTGCGTGCTGGAGCCCCGCACAGACAGACAGACAGACACGCACACCTCCCAGCCCCGTGGCCGTACCGTTATGCAGCGGTTACACCGCGTCTCAGCAGAACCGCGTGAGGTGGGAGGGAATCGCTCGGACAAATTGGAGAGGCTGAAAAAAAAGAAAAAGGAAAAAAGAGCTGTGTGGCCCGTACGGGGATCGAACCCGCGACCTTGGCGTTATTAGCACCACGCTCTAACCAACTGAGCTAACCGGCCAGCTGAAGGTAAGGTCGCCTCTGAGAAATATAAAGATAGATCAAGCTCAATATTCCATCCTTCGATCGGGGTAGTGAAGGTGACAGACTGGACGAGGAACCTCCTCGTCCCTGGGAGCTTCGGAGTCAGGCCCGCGCATGTGGAAACACACGCTGAACTCCTCAGCGAAACCAAAAAGTAAATCGGAAAACTCTTCCCTGCCTATAGAGAGATAGTAGGGAACAACCATAACGCGGGATTGGGGACAACTCCTCGTCTAAGTCAATAGCTTTCTTCAAGTTTACTAAGATATGATTCCAGTTTCTTTTAATTAAAATATTTGAACATTCTTTAAAAGCATCTACTATTCTGTTTAACGCGCTACTAGGATCTTGTTTTGCACGGACAAACAATTCACCTTTCCCTAGTGTTTTGATTTTTACTACATACGCTGCATAGAAAAGACAACTTCTCTGCTCATAGACTATCAGTTTAGAAAGAGGCAAACAGCGAGGGACGGGGACAGGGAGGGAATGACAGCTCTCTAAAATGCATGTTTTTGGCGACAGCTCGGTGAGAACACAGCCCCATATCTTTTCCTGAGTTCTTCCGTATGCCTGTCTGGCGGTACGGCCTCTCTCCCCACCCCGCAGTGGCGCGCAGGATCCGCCAGGGATCAGGCCATCACCGGGGATGAATCTGAGCCGCCGGGACGCTGCTCCGGCCACGGGAGACTCGACTGCAGGCAGGGCCTGCCGCTGGACCTGTGGAGCACATCCTTTGTCCCGAGGGCTCCCCTCCTCAGCCCCTCACCCACGGGCTCAGCCCCGCCATCTCCGGGGGTCGGCACCGTGGGTGTTGTCCCGAACGTGGGCTCGGTTACCGGGTGTGCAGCGCCAATTGACGCCTCGAGGCGAGGTATTTCTGCGTTTTATTCTAGTTTGCGCAAAGCAGGGCGCTAAGCAGTAACCCAAAAAAGTCTAGCTCAGTGATCATCAAAACTTTACACTTGATATACCTTTTAACAAACAAAGGCACCAGCATTCTTTGGTTACCAACTACAAAACTTGTATTAATTAGTATTCAAACCACCATTTGCTAGCAGCAGCTCGCTTCTCATGCTAATTAGTCCGCAGGCGCAGTTCTTTTTTCCAGGTGAGCATGGGGGCCCTTTTGGGTAGGTAGCCAATGGGTTACGATCTCGCACTGCCGAAATCACGTTTCCCCCAGTTACTGCTCCATTCTCCTGACTTCAGTCCAGGTGGCTCTCGTCCGGTTCACTATAGGTTTGTCTTTCCTTTTCCTTAAAACAAAAGATTATCCGAGGGTGCGACATCCACAGCTCCCCCGCACCTGGGCGCGCACCTGGCGGTAGGGGCGGGGCGCTGTGGCACGCCGTGCACACTGCGCATGCGCGCCGCCGCCGTGCCGTGTGCAGCGGGCCGCCGCGCGGGGCCGGCGCGTGCGCGGTTGCCGGGGCGACTGGAACACATCATGGCGGCCTGAGGGGTGCGCCGGGAGCGGGGCCGGCTCGGCCCAGCCGCTCCTCCGCCAACCCCGGCACCTGCGGGACGGCACGGAAGGCACAGTAAGGGGGCACGGGGAAACGCCTTGGGCACTTTCCGAGGGGTGGTGCGGGCCCAGAGCATCCAGGAAGGCTGACGGTCACCCAGGGGGCCGTGGTCTTAGGGAGTACCGGCGCTGAGGGGGCCGGAGGTGCTTCTGTAGCCGCTGGAAACGCCGTCCCTGGAGCCCGTGGGCAACTCCTCGGCCTCGCATGCCAACGCTGGTCTCTGCGTCCCGCTCCTCCACAACAGGGTGCCAGCAGCTCTTTCTCCGGGCTCCTGCGGGGCATCACCCTCCTTGCTGGTCTCTCCAAGTGCTTTCTCAGGAACTGCTAAGTTTTCCTGGTTCGGTGCGCCTTGCCTTCCATTGCTTAGCATCCTTCACATCATCCCGTGTCGCGCACACCCTGCGCATCTGGCGTGTCTCTGAGGGCAGTATTTAAGTACCATGGCCTTGAAACTCAACTTCTTGCTGCTTCCTTCATTTCTTTAGTTATTTCTCTCTTCCCACACCTATCAATGTCACACTTAAACATCGTAGCTTATTCTTTCTCAGTATCTTGGCATCTTTGTGACGAAGTGTCTGCTTTAGATTTTTACAATACCCTCTTTTGATTACTGTAGTGCTGTATTTGTGTCATTTTGTATTAGATTCTTTAATTCCAAATGACTGTTAATTTTTCACGCTCTCTAGTTACAATGGTTGGGTGTTGTTTTGAGTTCCATGATTTGCCCATAATTTATATTTAGATTGTTCCTTATTTCCTGGGCTCTCTAGCCTCTTGCACATTAAACTCTCATTCTGTCAAATGATTTATGGCCCCTTTTTTGGGATGTTGGATGAGTTCATACTGCTACAACTTGTTCTTCCCAACCTTTATTTCCTTTCCACTAACGATTTTCAGTTTGATCATCTGTGTGTGCTGAAACAGAGGAGAGGGAGGGGAGAGATTAGATAACATCTATTGTTACAGATGCATGAACAAACTCTACCCACTGATCAGGTCTCTTTTATTCTTCAATGTTCTATGCAAATGTAATTAGAACACTTCCTTTAATTTATCCTAGAAGCTTTCAGTCTTACAATGCTCATAAATTTTTTTAACCTTTCTTTCAGTCTTCATCTTTGACTACAACAAATTCAGGTAATTTAACTGGTAGCAAGTTTTGTTTTGTAGCTGTATGAATTTTCATAGCTTAAAGTTGCCATGCTCTCACCTGACTTTTTTTTGTTCCGTGTGTGTTTGAAGTCTTTTGTTTTGGTGGGCTCTTTTTGTTGCCTGGTAACTCAGGATGTGATCACATCATGATCAGGATGGTGCTAAAGTAGATTTTTAAGAATCTCCAGAAATCCTGACTTGTGAATGCAAAATTAAATTTGTTAGTACACCTGAAGTCTAAATTTTATTTCTTCTTATTCTATATAAACTTTTATGTTGTTATTCTTACAATGCTTGATTTTCTTTCAGCTGCTGATTGAACAGTAACTTGTCTGATCATTATAATTTTGTCCCTAGGAGAAAATCCCTCTTATTTTAGTGACATATTTTGTTCAGAGTTTGCACATTGACTTTATGAATCAGAGACATTTCAAATAATGCAATTTTCGTTCCTGATTCTGCCCTTTATTCAGTCAGTTGAAATTATTCAGGCCTTTGCTTCATTCTTTTCACTGGATGGGTCTTATAAGTGCCAGGTTAAAGCCTCATTTGTTGGTTATATGTGTTATATTTATTTTGCCTACAGAGCACTCAGTTGTAAAAGAATTACAATAACAAACTTTACAGGTTTACATGGAAAAGAATGTTTTACAATGTGTAAAGGATTAAGTCTTTGTACAGTAATAGAATTCTGCAACTTATAATTTAAACAACTGAAGTTGTTTTGAGCTCTCCACTGTTATCTGGGCTTCTCTTGTATGTGTAAAATAAATTTATAGAAGAAGATATATAAATATAACCAAATAGTATAAACACATACTACCTGATTTCTTTAAATACCTGAAGATGTTTTCAATAAATTTGTACAATAATGCTTTCCCTAAATTTCTCTGCCCAAGTACTTTAGTTCATTAACACTATGGCTAGTATACCATAAATAGTAAGATCTTCTTTTCAGATCATATGATTTTGAAATTTTTTTCTTTTTAATGCCAGAGAATCAATTACTTGCATTTAAAAAAATACAGGATGGCCATTTGTTAGAATAAAAGAGTAAATCAACAAAGAGCTAACTTTATTTTGTGTCTGTCTTGGGTCTGTTTTGGCCCCAGAGCAAGCTCTGACATTATAAGAAGATATATCACAGCCAGTGTGTTTCTGACTGGTTGGAGGGTTGCTACCAAAAAAATCAATTTACACTGAATTCTGTGAGAGTAGTATTTAAGTAGTCTGAATTTACAGTCTTCATCTTACATTTGCAGTTTAGATAGGAAATTAAAACTTAAGGTGGGGATAGAGTGGTGATTTTTCCTCATGTTATTTCCTCAGTCTCAATTAGTGAAGGCTGAGGATCAGCTCGCTTGAAGCACTAACTGCCCAGTTATCAAACAGCAGCCAAAGCAAAACAGTCCTGTGGTCTGTTGGAGTCTCTATTAGAGATTCTCTCCTTTACCCACAATGATTTTCAAATTCAGCTTCCACTTTTAAATAGCTCTAGATGTAAATTGTCTATATTGAGTGTATTAAATGGTGTGGCTTATTTTAAATTACTCTGCTATTTCCAATTTTTCAAGTTTAGATGGCCTAATTAGTTAGTTTATGATGCAGCATGATTGATAATGATCAGAAAACAGAAGTGGCAGATGATAAAAATGAGAAGAGCACCTCACAATTCTCATGTGAGTGGCGCTACCATATTGAAGAAAGAAGGGTTGCAAGGGGAAGGTTTCTATTAATTAAAACACGAGCATTTAGCTCACAAGGAAAGAAAACACTTTTTTGTTGTTGGATTTATTTTTTTTTTAAACAGAAGCAAGTATGAAAGCTGGGGAGATGAAAAGAGAATAAGACAACACAAATTAATTGTTAGTTGGAAGACAGCATTAGAATGTCTTTGCTTAAGAAACTTCTCCCTCTGCAAAATTTCTTGGCAGGCTTTCTCCACTGTAAGGCTGTGTTTATACTTGTAAATTAAACATATCTGGAAATCTTCTTGGACACAAGGAGCAACTGGCATGAAATAGCCCCCATCTCTGCTAGTAAATTCTCTTATCTTCCAAAACAAGGCAGTAGGACAGAAACAGCTGGAGAACTGACCTTAGAAGGAGTCCTCACACCAGGCAGGGAAGGTGCCTCACAAAGTGCTGATTGTCACAGGCCAAGTCCCTGCCAAGAACTGTTGTCACAGTAATAACAGGCAGCTACACTGAATTTACTGCTGTCACACAGCTTGAGACTCCAGTTATTCTGACACCCATAAGGGTCTGAATATGATAAAAGAGGTTTTCTGCCCTGC